AAAAAAAAAAAAAAAATTAACTTACTATTTTTTAAAGAAAACTTTAAAAAATTAACTTACTATTTTTTAAATTAATATATTTGAAATGAGAACTTGCTGTGTTGCTCAAGCTGGTCTTGAACATCTGGACTCAAGCAGTCCCCCTCCCGTCAGCTCTCCTAGTAGCTGAGACCATAGGCGCGTGCTACAGTGCCTGGGTTTTGAAAGCTGTGTCAGTTAGGGTGCTTTTGGTTTGAGGTACTCTCAGCTCTCTCTGTCTATAGGTCCTACACCTGTGGGATCCACATCTGTGGATTCAGCCAACCACGCGTTGAAAGCGTTGGGAGGCTTGCAGGGTGCCTCACACTTGTAATCCCAGCTCTCTGGGAGGCTGAGGCGGACGGGTAGCTTGAGCTCAGGAGTTCGAAACCAGCCTGGGCAACGTGGTGAAACCCTGTCTCTACAAAAAACTATAGAAAGAATTAGCCAGATGCTGTGGCGTGTGCCTATAGACCTAGCTACTTGGGAGGCTGAGGTGGAAGGATGGCTTGAGCCCAGGAGGTGCAGGTTGCATTGAGCCAGGATCGTGTCACTGCACTCCAGCCTGGGTAACAGAGCAAGACCCTGTCTCAAAAAAAAAATTTGGAGAAAAAAAGAAAACAATAAAAAATAACAATGTAACAATGAAAAATAATACAAAACTACAGTAGCACTATTTTTACATAGCATTCACATTGTATTAGGTATTATAATTAATCTAGGAATTATTGAAAGTAGATGAGATGACGTGGGCAGGTGAAATGCAAATCCTACCCCATATGATAAAAGGGACTTGAGCTTCCTTGGATTTTGGTATCTAAGGCAGATCTTCCTCAGATACTGAGGGAGGACTGTACCTAAAAACCCAATTTAGGTTGACTTAACGACAAAGGAAGTGTATTGGCTGACATATTTGAGAAACCCAGCAGTAGTTGGGATTTCATAATGATTTGATTAAGGTGTTCACAGTATTAACAGCTCTGTTTTTCTCTTGGCTGTGACTTGTTCCGTGGTTGTTTTTGTTCATAAGCTGGTTTACTTGTGCTACAGCAATATTTAGAGGGTGGGAGGGTGCGGAGACAGCTCTTTTCTTCCCTGAACCATTGAGCAGTTGATTTGCTTCTCATTTCACCAACTTGGGTCATAGTCCACTCCTGGACTGAACTTCTTGGCTTAGGAAGGAAATCAATGTTTTTACTGCTACATGCCCGCTTTTTTTTTTTTTTTGGTGACGCACGTCTTCACTCTTGTCACCACCAGGCTGGAGTGTTAGTGGCGCCATGGTCGGCTCACTGCAACCTCCTTCTCCAGGTTCAGCAATTTCCTGCCTCAGCTCCAGAATAGCTGGGATCACCAACTGCACCATCCATGCCCGGCTAATTTATGTATTTTTAATAAGAACGGTTTCACCCATATGGCCAGGCTAGTCCTCAAACTCTGACCTCAATGATCTACCCGCCTTTGGCCTCCCAACAATCGCTGGGTAGTACACCCGTGTGAGTGCCACCGCACCCGGTCCAACACTTTTTTGTCCCTTTTTTTTTGGTAGGGAGGGATGGGGGGGCGGATGGAGTCGTTGCCGTGCCCAGGCTGGGTGCAGTGTGTGTGATCTCCACTCACCGCAACTCACCTCCCAGGTTCCAATGATTCTCGCACCTCCTCCCGACTGAGCTGCTGGACTGCCTGGCGATCACCACGTGCGCCTCAGCTAATTTTTTTGCAATTTTTAGAGAGACGAGGTTTAACCCTAGTTGCGCCGTGCTGGTCCGAAATCCTGCACCTCAGTCGAATCTGCCCATCTTGCCTCCCCAAGTAACTAGGATTACAGGCATGGCCACCATGCCCAACTGATCCGTCGGGGTTTATTTTTTGCTTTCTTTTTTTTTATTTGAGGACGGAGTCGCCTGTCGCCCTTGGCTGGTAGTGCCATAGCCGCCGATCTGGCCTTCACTGCCACCTCTGCCTCCTGGGTCCACGATTCCCTGCTCAAGCCCTCCCAGTGCTGGGACTACAGCCGTGAGCCACCCACGCGG